TCTTTTCGCCTTAGATAGGTGTGCCTGAAGATTTTGAGTCATTTATTTATATTGGGTTGGGCGAATTCATTCGAGGTCCATTTCTTTCACATATGCATCTTCATTTTGGCAACAATACATATATCTTTTGTACTTGTCTATATATATCAATATACATCTGACATGTATTATATTGATGTAATCATTAATCATGTTAATTAGGCTTTTTTTTCTTAATGATTTTTGTTCAGCATATCAATTGTGAAGAAATTAGGTGGATTAATAATCATACATATATATATAAAAGGGGATGAGTGCGGCTGTGCTTGTGGCTATTGTCGCTGCAGTCGGCAATTTATTACAAGGATGGGATAACGCTACCATGGCTGGTACTTGTATATATATATATATATATATATATATATATATATATATATATATATATATATATATATTCTCCAATTTCAACCTTAATTACTCCTAATTAATTACATTATTCTGTCATTTATGCAGGTGCAATTATCTATATAAAGAAGGAATTCGAATGGGAAAATGAGCCGACAATGGAAGGGCTAAGTGTGGCCATGTCACTAATAGGAGCCACCTTAATCACGTTGTGCTCTGGCGGAATATCAGACTGGCTGGGCCGTCGTCCAATGTTGATTGTGTCGTCTATGTTTTATTTTGTGAGCGGTGTTCTAATGCTATGGTCTCCAAACGTATATTCGCTGCTTTGTGCGAGGCTGTTGGATGGATTTGGAATAGGGTTGGCAGTTACATTTGTTCCGTTATATATATCTGAGATGTCACCGCCGGAGATAAGAGGTGTGCTGAGCACTCTGTCTCAGTTCACCTACTCAAGCGGGATATTCTTGTCTTATAGCTTTGTGTTCTGTATGTCATTGACGGAATCTTCCAGCTGGAGATTGATGCTCGGTGTTCTATTTGCCCCATCACTTATTTACTTTGCATTAACCCTATTTTACTTGCCCGAGTCTCCGAGATGGCTTATGAGTAAAGGGAGGGTGCTTGAGGCCAGGCAGGTTCTGCAGAGACTTCGTGGGACCCAAGATGTCTCAAGTCAGCTCACTTCTTCTTCTTCTTCTTAGCTTCTTCTTTTTCATAAATATTTATGAGAAGATCAGATGAAGTAACATAATATATAATCAAGGGGCCGGGGTTATCTGATATTAGTTATGATCGATCGATCATATGTTGAATACAACTACTATATATATACTTTGTTGTAATTAATGATCATCTGCATATATATGGATTTATGCATCAGGTGAACTGGCATTGCTAGTTGAAGGACTAGAAGTTGGGCATGAAACAGCCGTCGAGGAGTACGTGATCGGCCCTCCAAACGAAGTGGTGGACGAAGAGAAACAGAGTAACGAAAAGGAGGAAATTAAAGTGTTGATGGCAGAAGGAATCTCCTCAATGGTTGCCCTACGCCTCCCACCTGGAAACACTAGTTTTCTTTCGGCAGCATCTCTGAGCAAGCAGACTAGTGTTCTCTCCATAGACCCCGTTGTCTCACTTTTCGACACCTTGCACGACAAGTCTGATGACAAATTAGGAACCACAAGCAACAGCGTGTTCGCCACATCATCATATAATGAACACCAACAACCACGGCAGCATGCAGATAACGAAGGAGGATACACATCAGATGATCTACGCAGTCCTCTAATATCACGTCAGACTACCGGCCAGGGTAACACAATGATGACGTCGTCACTTTCGGGTGGAAGTAGCTTCAAGACTACAAGCCAATGCGATCATCATCAAAGCACACCAGCTAGCATTGGCGGTGGCTGGCAGCTGGCCTGGAAATGGAAGGAGGCCGGAGAAGGCTCATCATCGTCAGCAGATCATAACAATAATAATAATAATAATAATAATAATAATGGAGATTTAAAAAGGGTTTATTTGCATAAAGATGGAGATGGAGATCAAAATAGTCATAATCATGAGTTGGTTAAAGCAGGAGCTCTGGTGAGTCAATCTGCATTATCATCATGTACAGCGAAACTACTAACGGATGATCACCACCCAGCACTTGGGGCAGCAGCCATGATTCACCCTTGTGCAGCTGCTGTTACTAAAGGCCCTAACTGGAAGGATCTATTCGAACCCGGTGTCAAACATGCCTTGATTGTAGGCATGGGCATCCAGATGGTTCAGCAGGTCATTCATTCTCTATTCCATTCAATAATCTTCTTACTACTGTATGTATATAGACTAATTAGTTAGGTAGTAAGTAACTGAATATATATAGATTGTGATCCATGTATAAATATTACAGTTCCTGGGCATAAATGCGGTTCTGTATTACACACCACAAATACTGGAGCAAGCAGGGGTTCAAGTGCTATTAGCCGACATGGGAATAAGCTCAACATCTTCGTCTCTGCTTATCAGCGCTGTCATGACATTGTTGATGCTCCCTTGCGTTGTTATTGCCATGCGCCTTATGGATGTTTCCGGTCGAAGGTATTATTTCATTTTATGTTCATTGTTTTTTTAATAATAAATATATAATGTTGCATTGGGGGTACGTACGGTACGGTGGCAGGAGTTTGCTGCTGAACACGAATCCAGTGCTGACAGTGAGCCTGGTGATTCTAGTGATGACAAGATATATTGAGGTGGGGAGCAATATTGGGAAAGCGGCTGTTTCAACAGTGAGTGTGATTACGTACAGCTGTTTCTTTGCGATGGGGTTCGGTCCCATTCCAAACATTCTGTGTGCAGAGATATTTCCAACAAGAGTACGTGGGGTATGCATAGGAATATGCGGAATCACATTTTGGATATGCAATATTATGATTACGTACAGTTTGCCAATGATGCTGTCATGGATAGGGCTGGGTGGTGTATTCAGCATATTTGCGGTGGCGAGCTTAGTTTCATGGGGATTCGTATACTTAAAGGTTCCGGAAACCAAAGGGATGCCTCTTGAGGTCATCACTGAGTTCTTCTCCCTAGGTGCTAAGCCAGCAGCAGCCCCCCCAAATTCTTAATGCTGATGATACTAATTTATAATAACAATTATAAGTAGCTAGCTAGCATGCATCATCACATCTTGTACTTGTCACAATATTCTGTTTGTTTTCTATTCCCTAGCTCTACTCATGAAATACTTGTAAGGGGAACTCTAATTTTTGATCCATTTTAATTATTTATTATTTATGAGTACCATTCTTTAAACCAATCCTATATATACTATTCCAAAGGCACCTGTGTGAATTTAGAATTATTTTGATATTTGCTTTTGAATTTTAAAAAAAAAAAATGTTAATTCATGTTGGAGAAGAATGGGAAAGAAAAATAAAAATGTAACCAAATAATTCCCTAAATTATTATTTTTAAATAAACAGAAAAATAAAGATATTCTTACATATTTTATCCTGAAAATAGTAAATATAATGTAGTACTACTACTACTACTACTAGTACATCTGCTGGGCAGGATCAGGTTATTTGTCTGATGTGCTAATTTTTGATAAACTAGGCAGGTGCACGTGCGTTGCACGTGTCTAATTAGTTATTCTTTTTATGTGAGTTTGATATATTTATCCTAATATAATATTACAAATGTGAAATGTTCAAATATTTTAAGTAAATAGTATAAATTCAGGAGGAGGTTTAAGTTTAAAGGCTCCAGTTTCCCTACAAAATAACTTTTACATGTAAGATTTTCGAAGAAAAAGGCCATTTGACTAATATACTTTGATACTTAATAGTAATAACTAATAATGACTCCTTGTTAGATAGTTCATTGTACGTATAACAAATAAAAAACTTACGCCATTAATTTAAAGTTCCATATTTATGTAATGTTAAGATTGACATTTAAATCCATTAATAATTTTCACCTGAGAAAAATGGCCATAAAATGTATTCTCCAGCATTTCTATCAATTATTTTTCTTATTTATTATTATGTATAAAATCTTAGGAACGTTTCCTCAAAAAATGTCCCTATATATATATATATATATATATATATATATATATATACATATATATATATATATATATTTTTTTTTTTTTTTTTTGACCAACTATTCCAGCAGTCACCCGATATGCATAATTGTTTGTACTATCAAATTACGAATCTGATAGTAGTCATTGTTCGAGACCAGAACTGGCATCAGATGTACTTGTTGTTTAAAGCAATGCATTTGTGCAAACAGAGCTGTAAAATCATGAGAAAAACTGTAATATAGAACTCAAGTATCACGAGAAGGACATAAAATATTGTATTATTTTTATATGTACGCATATAAAAATAGACTTCAACCTCTAGGCATACATAGTTCTGCATAAAAAAAAATGGTATTGCACATGAATAAAATCACCTCTTAATTAGCACTATGTTTGCAGAATTGAGGTTTGTTTGAAATATTCTACCTTGTTTTACCTCATAACTGGAGTCCGTCTGCTCAGTCTGTATAACATAGTTTACCTTTTACTAAGAATTAAAAAAAAAGGGATGGATTATGTGAATGTATCTTTTTGTGCCATTGAAAAATCACTTAAAATTAACTTGTGCGACTCAGATGCCATATAAACCATATTTGAGGATAGACTTACATAATTCGAGCGCGAGGAATTGTCTTGTAATTTAAATTTTGATGGACCTTCAATAACAATTAAAATTTCTGAATTATCTGAATTAATTCGAACAAATTAACAGACACCGATAACCAAAATAAACAAAAAGTAACAATAGTTATAGTCAAACCAACAACGTCAAAGTACTTAACAATAACCAGTAGCCACGGAAATGTTTCCATTTTCAATTATAATTAAACCAATAACGTCAAAGTACTTAACAACAATCAGCAATCACGGAAGTGTTTCGGTTTTCAATGATAATCAAACCAATAACGTCAAAATACTCAACAATAATCAACATCCACGAAAATGTTATCGTTTTCAATTTAAGACGGAATAAACCCTGATGATGACAGAAGAGGTTACGAATAATGCCAGGTGGACTAAATTGCTATTCGTCGATCATCCAAGCAAACATAAACTAAGCCAACCACCAATTCCAACATTTTGAGCACCGCCAAAGGCTGAAAAATGATCTAACATAACATCTAATTTTTAAACAATTCAGTCTTTTAAGTTTCTTTTGGTTTTGATTTATGATGATTGTTACTATTATTTTAATGTGGTCTATTCTTACGTTATGAAACAAAAAAATATTATTAATATTGCTACTTTTTTAATGTGGTCTAAATACAATGAACATCATTATTCACATTACTATATTTAAAGAGGTTGCTTAATTGATCTTAGAATGTGATTTGTGATTAGGACCGGCAATTGAGCCGGGCCTAACCGAAGCCCGATGGCTCAGCCCGATTATATTTGAGCCGAGCCTACTTTTTAGTGAGCCGGGCTGAGTTTGAGCCATTTTACTAAACCCGATTTATTTATGAGCTGAGTTTGAGCCTACTATGGCTCAACCCGAATGAGGCCCGACCGATTAGGATAATACTAAAATATATAATATATTTATTATTTTAATACTATGACTCAACATACAAGTTATGAAGATTATTTGATTTTGCGAAGAAAAAGTCAAAATAAAAAGAATTAAGTAGTGACGGTGGAAATAAGTTAAATATGAATCAAATGCAACATCTCACCGAGATTTGAGAATATAAAATGTTTTCAATAATAAGAGTTACTAATCTTTTTTTTACTTCTTTCGGTTTTATTTTCAAGTTTTTTCCAATAACTTTCAATGATCGTTTATGTTTTTTTATTTATTAGGTTCAATGGAGGTAAATCTTGTTCATCACTTATTTTTATAAAAAAAAAATTACTCATTACAATTATATAGTAATGGGGCCCGATATAAACCCGAAACCCGAAAAAATACATGAGCCGAACTTGAGCCTATTCTAATGAGGCCCGATGACATGTGAGCTGGAGCCTATAATAACGAGGCCCGATGGTATGTGAGCTTGAGCCGACTCAAGCTCGGCTCACATGGCCCGATTGCCAGCCCTATTTGTGATAGTTGTTTTGTAAGGGTAATTTCGTATTTCGTAAGAATAAAAAAGGGAAAAAACCTCCATCTTATTCACACTTTTATTAGTATACTGGAAACGTGGACGTGCATTGCACGTCTCAGACTAATTTATTTATGATTTTTTTTTGTTAATTTAAAATATTTTCGATCGTAATAACATACTATGTATTGAAAATATCTATGTTATTTCAAGTAAACTATTTTCACTAAAATCTAAGTTTTTCTAATATTGAAATATGTTTAGATCCATACACGCACTCCTATATAATAAGTGAATCTTTATCTTCCGGTAGCTCTCCATTGAACTCCATAACTGATTTATTATTCATATTAAATTTAATAGAATAAAAAATTGAATCTATATAAAAATATAAATATTGAACAAGAAATATAGTTCTAGAATTTGTTCTCATTTTTGTACTTACGACCTCACTAAAAATGCCCCAATAAATTAGGTTTCGATAGTTCGTAATCGAATTATTATCTATTAGTTAAATAATTATGAAGATAAGCGCTTGTTTTATGTTCTAAATGCTTATTTTATTTTTGTATTATAACCCCTAAAACATTTTAATTTTTAATTATTTGTCTATATAAGGGGTACTATCACATTCTACTGATCTTTTATCTTCTATATTTATCTTGGTAATTAATATAGGTCATTTTTATTTTATTTCAAAATTATAATGTGATCATGGTTACATTAGAAAATATTTAGCATAAAAGGTCTAATGAATGAAAAGAAATAAATATATTACCAAAATAAATTCTAAATCACTAATGAATATCATATTACTTCAAATTTAAACATAATTTATACAAAAAAATAAGAAAAAAAAATGTTGAGAAATAAAATTCATTACCTAATCTGATCACGTCTCGATCCCCTCCCCTTCTTCTGCACCCACCAACCTTGCTGTGTAATTCAATTGTTGTTGCAATGGGCACTTCATCTTACTTCCTCTGATCTTCATTCTCGTTCGATCTTTTAATTTTGTTCCTCATTTGCTTCGTGTAAGAAATGTGCATTCCATTCATATATATGGAAGATGAATCAGATGCATATACGAACTTGATGATATGTACAAGAAGGTACATTTGCTTATGCGTGTTGATCCAACTCCCAAGAAATCGAGAAACATCGATCTAAGGAACACAAAACAATGAAGGATTTGCATCTCCAATATGATTCCAAAAGAACCCTTTTCAACATATCAACATAAAAAAAAAATTAGATACATTTACAATGTAGAACATTGATCATGATCTTGATTTTATAGTGATTCATGATATTATTGTTTGATGATGAAAGCCGAGAGAACTTCGGAGGCTTTGCAACTTCCGAGAGTGAGTTGATTTCATTGTTATCAATTATCAATAGGAAGCAACGGAAGACCTTTAGTTTGTTCAATGAATCTTCGAACATAATGTATCATTAATAATTTAATATATTTTAATTGACTAATAGAATGCTATTTAAATATTACTTTAGTCGTGTACATAATCAGTTACTATAACTAATATATATCAATAAACTAATTAATCATAAACAATATTATGTATCAATTACTTACATTTTCCTTTCTATTTTTTCCATGCATTGGCCACGGGAATTCTTCGGGATCCCGAAACCACCAGCCCGCGACCTAATTCATGATGAGCCCACCAACTTCCTGGTAAAATGCCTATGGTTAAAATCACCAACATGTCAAGATCCAAATTCGAATTGGTTATTGTTCCTGGTCCGAGACCAATGTGTTCGCGCCGGCGGTCCAACAAAGAGGTGCAGTAGTTGTATTTTTCTTTCCATTATGAACGACACCCCTATCCCATCTAGTAATAGGAATACAAAAAAAAAGGGTATATAATACAAACCAGAAAACAAGGAAATAAATAAGATAAAAATAAGACGTAACGTCAAAGCTTCCCAGCAATTGCTTAGCAAGAAACCAAGTAACCCCCTTACGACCTATTCACTCAGGTCCTCCTTCTTGAGTAGGCATTCCATTAACTGGGAACAAAGATCAGATAATCAAATAAAGATAATAAATAAAAGAGAAGTCTAATGATTCATGAGTTTATATACATCATACACACGGAAATTGGAGTTTCAATAATTGATGATGTTGATATTTGAATGTGAATTGTGAGTTATTTTTTACATCCGGTGCATCTAAGCCGTGTAGTCTAATAGACACCACAATTTGATGAGTAATTATGAATTTATTATAGTCATCATCATCATTACTTCATATGAAAGGTCATTAACCATAATAACAAAAGAAAAGGAAAGCCAAAGACCAAAAAACGTAAAATATATGCATCATTATTTCCTTACCAATTAATTATCAATTTTGGGTTTAGTTTGAGTCTCCTAGACTCACACCTCCGTACACAAATGTATAATAATCAAAATATATATTTACATATTAATTAAAGTACTTATTTGTCCTCCAAAATTACATATGAAAAGGTTATTTTTGTCCATACAAAAAATGGAAAAAACCTTCATACTATTCATCCTTCTATAGATAGTATAGATAGATAGATATAGTAAAACAACTTGATATATATCCTGCAAACTCGTGTTTCCTTTAAAATCATTTTAACCTAGTTGTTTGTCATAATTGGGTCAGTTTATATGGTAAATAAAATGAATTAAATAGATAATCCAGATACGGAGTTGCAAGCCCAGCCGACCAGGGAGACGCCTCTAACTTTCTTAGCCGATTTCGTGGACCGGCGACCCACATGGCACACGCCTTCTTCTTTCTCTCATTTTGTTATACACTAATTATAATTATTCTTTTCTTTCTTATCTATTAGTATTAATTACGTAATAATAATATTATAATAATAAAATGATCAAAATTAACAGCTTTCATTTTCAATTCTTCTAAAATATCTCAACCCCCTACCATTAGAATCGCTGCAACTCATTTCACAGATTTTTTCTTTTTCTTTTTTCCACCCATTTATTTGCCCACCTCAAAGGAATTGGATTGGAATTCGATTCCCAATTCACATAATTCCAAACAGGATTCGTTGAGGAGGGAGGGGCTGCCGCTGCTGCTAATCGATTATATATCAAAGAATATGGGGTTCGACGACGATAAAAGTAATGAAGCTGGGTCATCCACCAACACCCTCCGCATACTGCCCAGAGAAGACACCCCTTTGTTGTCCGTCAATGGCAAACCCCACACCCTTTCTTCTCAACCCAAGACATTCGCCAATGTCTTTATTTCCATCGTCGGCGCCGGCGTTCTCGGCCTCCCTTACACATTCATGCGTACTGGCTGGCTCACCAGCCTCCTCATGATTTCCTTCGTCGCCGCCCTCACTTTTCACGGTATGATGCTCCTCATCCACACCCGCAAGAAGCTTGAGGATTCCCCCCTCGCTGCCTTCCCAAAGATTGCATCTTTCGGTGATTTGGGTTTCGCCGTCTGTGGTTCTATTGGCCGATTCGCCGTTGATTCCATGATTGTTCTATCTCAGGCTGGCTTCTGCGTCGGCTATCTCATTTTCATTGGCAACACTCTCGCCAATCTTTCCACTTCCTCCTCCTCCTCTGCTGCTGCTGCTTCCAGCCCTAATTTTTTGGGGATTTCTGCCAAGAGTCTTTACGTTTGGAGTTGCTTCCCATTTCAATTGGGCTTGAACTCAATCCCATCACTAACCCTTTTGGCCCCTCTGAGCATTTTCGCAGATATTGTAGACTTGGGTGCAATGGGGGTTGTGATGGTTCAGGATGCCATCATATTCACCAAGCAAATGCCAGCCGTTGAGGCTTTTGGCACTCTTTCCACATTTTTTTACGGATTAGGTGTTGCTGTTTACTCGTTCGAAGGGATTGGAATGGCTTTGCCTTTGGAAACGGAGATGAAAGACAAATCAAAGTTTGGGAAGATATTAGGGCTGACAATGTTCTTTATTGCATCCATGTACGCTGCATTTGGAGCAATGGGTTACTTTGCCTTCGGTGAGAACACGAAAGATATTATCACGGCGAACATGGGTAAGGGACTTTTGAGTACTGTAGTACAGCTGGGGCTCTGTATAAATTTGTTCTTTACGTTACCGTTGATGATGAACCCGGTTTATGAAGTGTTTGAGAGGAGGTTTTCGAATGGAAGGTACTGCTTGTGGATGAGGTGGATGCTTGTACTTGGAGTGAGTTTGGTAGCATTGTTTGTACCAAATTTTGCAGATTTCTTGTCATTGGTTGGAAGCAGCACTTGCTGTGTACTAGGGTTTGTATTCCCAGCACTGTTTCATTATCTAACATTCAAGGAAGAGATGAGCTGGAGAAGAGCTAGTGCTGATATCAGCATAGTTGTATTGGGTGTTGTACTTGGGGTTTCAGGAACTTGGTACTCTCTCATCGAGATTTTCTCTGTAAAGGTATGAATGAATGATGACATTACGTTGAGTCGGAGTTGTCGATGTTCTCTATGGAGATTTTCTTAATTGTTCTTATGCAATATATTATATTTATTTTTTCTTTCTTCCCAAACCAGACAGTTTTCTTTAGTGTTGGTTGGTTCGTCATATTTCAGGGTGGTCAATAAATACTATGATTGAAGGATTTAATGGAAATCTCTCTTGTTTTCTACTTTCATCACTGCATGTGCTTTTATTTTATCCTGAAAGTCATTATCAATTATCAGTTGACGATTCTATAAGACGTATGATGCACTATGGTTCGATCCTTGTATATTTAATTCAACATAAATCTCGTTTTGGTCGCCTAAAATAAGATTGTTATGCTTTTTTAGTGCATGTATATATATTGGTATCTTTATGAGAGCGTTCGGTTTTCCGATTTGCAGAAAAGTAAAATTTGAATAGAGTGAGTGAAAGATGTGTGCAAAAGAGTAATTTGTCATTTGTAATTTGGCAATAAATGGAGAGGATATAGAGGATTTTGCTTAGGTAATGGTATTGGCAAAAGAAGGTATATGTACTAATTTGGATTTTAGAGAACAATGGCAGGCCAGTTTATAAGGTGGATATATATATCTTCAGAGTTTGGATAATCTGTTGAATCGAAAAAACGGTTGCTAAGTCTGATGGTGCGGACTGTGATTTAACTGGTTTTGGTTTATCGAGACTGAATGAATGAATGAATGAATGAATGAACGAACGAATGAATGAATGGGGGAATATGAAGATTGCATTGTACAATAATTGGTTTGTAGGCATGCTATGCTCTCTCTCATCCTCCAGAATTATATATGTTGAAGAAATTTAGCAGGCAGTTTGTTTTTTCCTCTATTTTCTTTCTTTTTTGAGGGTTTGTTTGTTAGGATATTATTTATAATTTTATATGTTGCACCAAACAAACAAACAAAGGCTAATGAATAAATTATTAAATGGTGATGATGTTTGCAAGTTGCCAGCCCCCCACTCTCCTCTTCGTTTGGATAGGAGTAGGACCATCCCAATCATTATTTATTACTAACAATTCAAATTCAAATTATAACAAAATTAAAAGGCTACTCTCCTATTCCTAATTATCATAAAAACCCTAGATAAATACAAGACTCAATTTTGCCCATTTTCTATTCGACCACAACTACACTCCAAGTAGGGATGGCAATGGGGCGGGTATGGGGCGGGTTTTGCAATCCCCATCCCCGCCCCGCTATGAAAATCCCCATCCCCATCCCCGTAAAAAATCCCCACGGGTATTAAAAGAATCCCCATACCCGCCCCATAAAATCCCCACGGGTATCGGGGCGGGTAAAAATCCCCGTCTATTTTTTTTTTCTTTTTTTTTTAATAAATAAATATGCAATTTAATGATTTATTTCAACAAATAAATCAATATTTAATTATAATACTAATATTTAATTATATAATGGAAACCTAAAAATCCCCATTTTAACTAATATTTAATATATTCCTACTATTTAATTATTTATATTTAATATAATAATTAAAAAATATATATTATATATATAAATAATGCGGGGCGGGTACGGGGACGGGTACGGGGCGGGTCTACGGGGCGGGTATAGGCAAACCCATCCCCGTACCCGTACCCGGTCAAAAAAAAATTTCAATCCCCATACCCGCCCCATTTTTTTTCGGGGCGGGTAATACCCGAAAATTTCGGGGCGGGGCAGGGCGGGGATCCGTCGGGGCGGGTCAAATTGCCATCCCTAACTCCAAGGAGTCCTATTTCTTGATAATTAATTTTGCGGTGATTTTTCAAATTAGACCCCTAGGTATTTTACACAAAGTACAGTGCAGTTAAAAAAAAAAAAAAAAAAAGGCATTCCCAAATTTCAAGATTTTTGTGGGAAAAAAAAGGGGTTTTTGGCACTTTGCACCCTTAAATTACACCATTTTGGCACTCTGCACCATTAAATTGCAAAATTGGCAGAGTGCACCCTTTAAACATAAATTGTTTGACACTTTGCACCACAAATCACTTTTGGCCTAGAAAACTTACCTGCAACTTGCTGGAAACTTGGAAGATGGGCAAATTCATAATTTTCTTATTATCTATCATCATCTTCCCTCAATTCTTAATAACCCTTCCACAATTTTTATCTTTTGTCCCTTCAACCAAAAAATCCTAAAATCTTTTTAGCCATTTCTTTCTATGGTAAAATCGGTATAAACACCAAGCAATAATAGTAAATCATTTTTTTTTTCTTTTAAGTATGAAAAATAATGTAACTGAAATTTTAGGTCGAGCCCTCAATTTTTATTTTAATAGTCAATGACAAAAATAAAGCTACTGAGAAGTTTATTTGGTGATAGAAAGGTGGTGCCTATTAGTTTCATGATGGGAAGATTTTTGTGTTCCCATTGAATAGTTTGGATCTGCAAAAATATTAAAAAAAAATAGTGTCACCATGGAATAAAACTTGATTGTCTGAAGGTGTGTTATCGGACTCTTGTCTATATATTCTGACCATTCATGAGTTTTAGTTCAGAATTTACATATTATGGCAAATAGGACTAAGAAGAATTTAGAATTTTTTAATTAATAAGACGAAATATAAAAATGGTGGAACGATGATTAAGAATTGGGGGAAGATGATAGATAATTAGAGAATTGCGAATTCGGCCATCTTTCAGGTTTTCAACAAGTTGAGGTAATCTTTCTAAACAAAAAGTGATTTGGGGTGCAAAGTGCTAACCAATTTATGTTTAAAGGGTTCAATCTGCCAATTTTGCAAATTAAAGGTGAAAAAATGGTGTAATTCATGCAAAGTGCTAAAAACCTGAAAAAAAGAAAAAGAAAAAACAAAATTTGTGCCCACCAGTACACATAAACAATGGCAGCTGTCTCCAGCCCCATCTTCATTTCCCTCCCAAAACCTAATTTCTCTCTCCTTCTCTCTCTCTCATTCTCTCTCACTCCTTTATAATAAACAATCTCAGCAGGTCCTCCTCCATTATTTATCACACTGTCACTCCCATTCTCCTCCTTCCAATATGTTGATGAATCTCTTCTTCTTCTTCTTCTTCGCCTCATTATCTCACTCTCTAACTCACCACAACAATGCTATATCAGATAATGAAACATCAGTATTCTCCGCCTCCAAGAGATTTGAGGGCTCATCCAACCTTGTAAACCTCCGGTACCACATGGGCCCCGTCCTCTCTTCCCCGATTAACATCTATCTCATCTGGTACGGCAACTGGTCTCCCTCCCACCAGCTCCTCATCAAAGACTTCCTCCTCTCCATCTCCACCTTCAACCACCGCGCCGCCCCCTCCCCATCTGTCTCCGACTGGTGGCGCACCGTCTCCCTCTACGCCGACCAGACCGGCGCCAACATCTCCCGCAACATCCTCATCGCCGGAGAGTACTCCGATCATCTCTACTCCCACGGCACCCACCTCACCCGCCTCACCATTCAACACGTCATCGCTACCGCCGTCAAATCCAAGCCCTTCGCCGTCGACCACAAGAACGGGATCTACCTCGTCCTCACCGCCACCGACGTCACCGTCCAGGATTTCTGCCGCGCCGTCTGCGGCTTCCACTACTTCACATTTCCGTCGATGGTGGGTTACACACTGCCGTACGCGTGGGTGGGGAATTCAGGCACGCAGTGCCCAGAGGTGTGCGCTTACCCATTTGCGGTGCCGGGGTACATGGGAGGAGGGGGTCCGGCGGCGCTGAGGGCGCCGAACGGGGACGTAGGAGTGGATGGGATGATAAGTGTAATAGGGCACGAGCTGGCAGAAGTGTCGTCGAATCCACTGGTGAACGCGTGGTACGCCGGAGAGGATCCGACGGCGCCGACGGAGATAGGAGATCTGTGTGAAGGATTGTACGGGACGGGAGGAGGAGGAGGGTACATAGGGCAGGTGATGAAGGACGGAGGAGGGAGGACATACAATTTGAACGGCCGGAGAGGAAGGAAGTTTTTGGTTCAGTGGATTTGGAATCCTATTCTCAATGCATGTGCAGGTCCCAATGCTCTTGACTGATTTCCTCTTCTTTTTTTTTTTATTATTATTTCTTTATTTATTTATTTATTTGTTATTCCCCATAATATTCAAAAAAATATTATAATAATAATAAAAAAAAAAAAAAGAGTTGGTGGAAAGGATATTATTTCTCTCTTTTTTGTCCTTTTGAAATGATCAGTGTAAATTATAAATATACTAGTATAGTTTTTGCATGATTTTATATTAAGAGAGACGATTAGGTGTAATTTGATTTGTTTGTAGATACAATTTACAAGAGTTGTTGTGTACTATAGAACAGTTCATTTTGGTTTTATTACTTGTCTGTGTATAAAGGGCATAATTTAATCCAAGCATTTGTTGATTCTTGTACTTTCATATATATCTCGATTTGTTTGAGCTATTTTTTTTTTTTTTTTGAGTAATTCAAGTCATTACAATAGAAAGTAGGGGAGGGGGACTCGAGCCATGTACATTTTATCCTATTGGTAAAACTAAGTACAACTCTCCAAATGAGGGTTGATTGTTTGAGCCATCTTTTGTTATTATGAATTGAACTCTCGACTATATTTCAGTATTTTGAATTATTAATAAAAAATAAATATAAAAAAGAAAGAAATGATGGGGATGAAAAAGGTGTGGGAGACAAAAATGATGAAGAAAAACCGAAAGAGTGTTTTGACTTTGTTATGAGCACAACAGCTAAGCGGTGGGACCCATATATAAATATCCAAGGAGCAGCAGTCGGCCCGGCCCATAGAAGAATTATTCTTTAGGTTACCCTTTTTATTAGATTAGTTTGAAACAAGATGCATGTAATGTAATGTAGAAGTAGTAGTAACATTTGAGCGAGTAAGAAGGGACAAATATTGCACGTGTTCAAGATTGAGCTGAATCATGAAACCTCACTGTGACATCTGTTCTTCTCTATGCCACGTTTTACCCTATTTCCTGCATTCCTCTCAACTATATATATATAACATATACAAACTTGATCCAATCCATTCATCCAACTTCAACAATTTTCATATAATATACTTTTTAGTACAAAGGGGTCATTAATTATAATGTCTGATATGAGAGGAAGTGCCGTGGTGTGCGACGACAGGTGCGGCTGTCCATCGCCGTGCCCTGGTGGCATCGGTTGCAGGTGTGCTTCGGGTGAGATGGCGGCAAGTGGTGGAGATATGGAACACAAGCAGTGCCCTTGCGGCGAGCACTGCGGCTGCAACCCCTGCAACTGTTCCAAGACGGAGCAGACCACCAGTGGCGGCACCGGAAAAGCCTTCTGCAGGTGCGGTGCTGGTTGCACCTGTCCCACTTGCGCTGCTTAATCAGCCGACCTCCACAACTCTCAGCTCTACTGCTGTACAAAATAATGTCTGCCTAGATGCTTGTACTAGAGTAGTTAGTTAGTTATGCTGCTGCTGCTGCTTTTATTAGGCTTTTCGTTTTCTACGCCTTCAATAATGAATTAGCAAAGCACCTTTAATTTGCTCTGTTTTATATATCATATCATATCATATCATCAGGCTACACTATTTTCTCAATTGGAAAACGTTCCCAACTTGAATGCCAGATCTAAATTAACAGCAGACATTGACAGAAACAAGAATGACGACTTTCTTTTATTGCTAAGCAAGTGTCTAATGACGGGGTTGTTGAGAAATATGTTTTGCGGAAGAATTTGCAAATGGAAGTAATGTTTGTTTGTAACAAAATAATTTCGACTACAGAAGGTGAATTTGAAAAATAAAGTGATGTTTCTTCAGAGACATATCTAACTACAAACCTTAGGAAACATTGGCTTCATTTATTCCTGAGAACATTACAATTTACAACTGATACAAAATAGAACAACAGTGAAACTATTTTGTATTGAGAGACAGACAGACAGTACCTCAATATGTAGCAGCAGCTTTCTTGGATTGAATATGGTAGTTTACAGTGAGCTCCTTCCATACATCTGTTTCCAAACTCCTTTCGTAAAAGGATACTGCTCCCCTTGTGTTCACAGCCACTCCAGAGCTGCTTCTTGTCCCGTATCGCCCCTTTTGCAAACACACATAATCCGGAAAAAAACGATTTATTAGAGATTTTTAATTTGATACCAAGATAGAAATATATATGCATTCATGTGAAAGAAATTATTTGGACAAAAAGTTACAGAAGGTGTATCTGCTTCGACGAAAATGGCACTCAAAAGGTATTCAAATTCAGGGGGATAAATGCGAGGCAGCTTGCTTTCGTCCTCATCCTTGGTGGTGTCATTCATCAGGGTTCCGCTCATCTCTTTCAATGATATTTCACCTTCTATACGCTTTCTAACTACATCTTCGAAACTATGCCTCAACCTTTCAGCCTGCAATAATAGAAGAATTACTCAACGTGAAAGCGTGTCCAATTATTTTGCAGTATGTATGGTAATTCATATCGCAAAGTGGAACTCGTAAAAGGAAAACTGATGGACCAAAAGTATCGCAAAGTGGAACTCGTAAAAGGAAAAATGATGGACCAATTAACTAAATCATTATGATCCCTTTGTGAGAACAAAATGTGTGCGAAACAATAAAAAAAAAAAAATACTCCACTCTTTTTAAGTGTTCTGTAGTCAATCCTTCAATGTTTACATCCCTCTCCTTTGATCTTGCGTAAAAAGATACTTGCATATTCAAATATGTAGATGAATGACAACAAGTGATTCAAATTATTCGCAGATAGTAAGTACATTATGTTTTACCTTAGGCCATGGTGTGTCGAGATTAGCATTTGACAAGACGTGAATACCAGGAGAGACTTGTGCTACAAATGGAGCACCTTGTTTGGGCCTGTTTGTTATGTAAACCATACTCATGGAGCATACATCAGCTACTATTAGATTAAACCCACTGAACTCATCTACTTCACCCATCACTTCCTCCGCAAATTCTTGCGGATTCTTCTTGCTCTACACAACATCATCATGTACAAATAATTCATAGATCAACCTTACAATGTTTATCAACCAAACAATTATTAACTCCTGCAACTCAACACATAAACTAATAAATCGCCAACACGTAGAAATTAGTTCACTACAGAATTTAGGTTTAATCGATCGAATTAACCAAAAACCATAAAAAAAAAAAAAAAAAGGAGAGAGTTAGGGTTACAAGTGAATTATTACAGTGAGGAAGCGAACAGGGAGATCTCCTCTACTTTTGAGTTGAGAATTGGATCGGATTTCCCTGACATTGGTAACAAAGGCAAGCTTCCCGTCCCTGCCGCAAGCCAACCAGGTACCGCCGGCGACCTCATCTCTTCCGCCGAGTATTTCGCCGTCGTGCCACCATCCCAGAGGCGTCGTCGGACTGTCATAAAAAAAATAGCAGCTGAATAAGAAGAATTGAAGAACAAGAGGGAGGAGGAGATAGATAAGGTACGTACCGAGAGTGGTATTCGTCTCTGTTGAGGAAGAGAAGAAGGGGGTATATTGGGTGAGATTTCCATATGAATACAGATATACACATGTTTTATTTCAGAAATAACCAGCCTTGAGATTGAATCAACAAGGTAATAATGAGTTTGAGATTGCTGACAAGGCTGGTATATTTACACCTGTCCCCTCTCAAAATAGCAAGGGTGTAATTACAGTTAGACCACTTTGATTGAAACAAATTACATGCAAGTTGAAAATGTGTGAAGAAAAAGTCAAGTCCGGAGACGTGACTTTGCTGGAACCCGACAATTAATTAGTTGAATTAATAAATGTAAATATTGCTTTCCATATTTTCTGATAATAGAAGATGTTAGAACCATGAAGCACGCAAGAAAATTCAATTTTTGTTTAAGGGTTTGTTATTATGAGTGCGGTTTTTACCACTCGCGGTGTAAAATAATTCATTTTTTTTTCTTTTCCAAATCCTATCCAAACCCCCTATCAGACACTCTCAACCTTTAATACTTGAAATTTTTCAAATTCAGTAATTTTTCGACCAATATCAGTTAGAGCACAAGTATTATCGACATGGATGACAATGGCTTCGATTTTGAGGTGAAAATACACGTTTTTTGTTCATTTCCAACGTTTTTAGACATTTCGTGTTATAACACACGAAATGTTAAAATATTTTATAAATAAATGTGCAATTTTCAAATCATATTCGGCTGACAAATGTGAAGATTTGTCAGTTACAAAAAATGATTTTTTAAGTCTCCTAACTTCAATGTTTTTGACCCAATATTAAATTATTATTTAAAGGCTACATACGTTTTTTGCAAGTTACAAATCAGCATTTCAAAATTCAAAGGCAATTATTCTATTTTAATTATACCATTTACTTCACAAATAAAACGGCCCCGATATTGTTCATATAAAAGGTGCTATGCTGATTTCATTTCCACTCACTTTTCGATGCAAAAAACTTCTCCTCTTTACCTACTAAATTGTTATCTTTTGAGTTCTTATAAGTGTCGGGTGCAAGCTTCTTGCTTCACTTGATAGTGCGGTTTCTTGTGAAGCTACAGCAACGAGATAGGCTGGGCTGTTGTATCCCATAGGTGACACGATTGCGACCTTACTGCACCTCATCGAGAAGGGATCGTGAAATTCGTCTTAAGAGACCGACCTAGTCCGCGACTCACCTTGCCTATCCGACGAATTATTTACAATATTTCGAGCATATTCCCAACACGAAATATATGCTTCCATTTCGTGTAATACTATACGAAATATGTCTTAAAATCGTTTGTTGTTTGTTTCGTAGAAAAGCAATTAAAGCTTACATTTCGTAGTAAAACCTACGAAATGGAAGCTCTTATTTCGTATGTTTTTATACGAAATTGTAGCTTACATTTCGTATGTTTTTCTACGAAATCCCTTAAATATTGTTTTTTAATTTCAAATATTTATGCGGGAACTAAGAGAACAATCTCACGATCATAGTCACTTCTTTGAACGTGGTATTGTGTGTGATAGTAGAGAGGCGTTAATTATGTGGGCAAAAGACATGTATCATCCTCCATGTGGAGCCCCCATGCTTCCATGACTCGTCAATCTCCTCAAAATCGAGGTTTAATACCTCGGGCAGCAAATGCACGCAGTTTATCCGCACGATGACCTCGTCGTACCTAGGCGCGACCACTCGTCCATCCACATTGGCACCTAGAATCATTTGGACATCGTGGAGAGTGATAGTCATCTCTCCCCACGGCATATGGAAGTTGTTCGTCTCCGACTGCCACCGCTCCACGAATGCAAACAACAGCGGAGCATCTAGGCACGGTAAATAACATCGGGCTAGGGGATACAAACCGGTCATTCGCAAAAAATGCTTGTATACGGATACATCTATGTCTTCTAGGGCAGCTGCTATCTTCTCGTAATTGAATTGGTTCAGGGAGTTGATACGGGACTCCACTCGTCCAACCGGACGTTCCTGCAATCATTTATTTAGAAAACATATTAATTAATCAACTATAAAAATATTTTAATATAAGATACAAAAATTATAATATTAAAATTAAAACAAGTAATTAACTTACTTCTCCCCTCCAAATATATGCCGCTACGTGCGACTTGAAACTCAGAATCAAAGACGGATCCCGCGGGCCACCGGAAAATGGACCATCTAGCACATCCGGATTGACTTTGAGTATGAGCTCGACCACCACGACCTCCACGGCCCCGTCCTCGGCCTCCACGACCTCCACGAGCTACAACCTCAGTCTCGTGAACGGGGTCCACAACATCCTCCTCTTCCTCCTCTTCCATAGCACGAGAAGACCCAACATCGGGATGTGGAACCGATGATCTGGCTTCACAAGCTCTCATAGCCTCTCGCCTACGTCGTGTAGACATAGTCATGCGCTCGCGCTCTTGATGCTCAGCCTCTTTACGAACTGCTCGCATAATTGCCTTTGATTTCTCTTTGCCAGCCATCTGTTAAATAAAACACTATTAACGTCAGTCTAAATAATAATAATAAATAAAACAAATCTTAAAAAAAAAACCCGAATGCAGTTATTTCGTGGAAAAACACACGAAATTAATGCTTACATTTCGTGTTTGTGTTCACGAAATAAAAGCACTAATTTCGTGTGTTTTTCCACGAAATAACTGCAAAACGACCGTGTTGGCACCAGATTTCTGTTTGTAAAGATTGAAGAAATCCGCCATACGTGGAAATTAATGATTGGCAAAGATTTGTTTTCCATGTTTATTTTGGAATTAATTAGAGTCCTATTTTTGTAATATTGTTATTAGGACTTAGATTTATTTCCATGTATTGTATTCTAGTTAGGTATCTTTTGTATTTATCTAGAATAGAAGTAGAAATCGACTAGGATTCTATTACCTAGTAT